GGCTGTGTTTAAAAATGTAACTGTGAAAAGTAGCCCCACACAAATACAGACAACTGGGAGAAACAATTAAATCTAAGGCACTTGGTCGAAAGACATCGATGCTTAAGTGAGCTCTGTTGACTGGGGTGGTCATTATAGATTAGCTGGTTAACCTTCAAAGGTTTGGTTTCTTTTTTGGTGATCACTTAAGACAAGGACCTCTGTTCCTTGTTGCCAGCAAATTTCTGGCAAAAGTGTTTTGTTGATTGTCTCAAAAGCAGCCAGACCAGGCCTGCTTCTTCAGGTAACGTTGTACTGCATCATTTGGGATCTGACAGTGTCAGTTCAGTACAGCAGCCCACGTGGTCCTCAGTGGCACAGTTAGATCAAGACTCTTGCGTCCCCCCTGCCCTCCAGGCAAGCAGGAAAATCTCCTGTGCCATGTTGACAGTCCTAATACAAATGCCACACCTTGGCAAAGCGGGAGAGGAAACCCTTAGCAGAATCAGGGGGGCTGTATGGTGCATTCCCTGCAGAGTGGACTCTTCTGCTCGTGTTGGGAAATAGGCTTTTAAGGGTCAGGAGATTTTTCCCATGCAAGATGACATCCCTGCGGAAAGGCAGTGGTGGTAGATGTGCTGCTGTGGTGTGTGAAAGGCAGAGAATAATCTATGTCCTTTCTTTCAGATTGATGAATATATTCTAGATGTAATGAAAAATCCCAGGAATCCAAAATCATTCAAACCTAGAAAACATGGCAATTGTGCCACCAAATCCTTCCACTACAGCAATGATGCCACTGACCTACTGAGGCTCATCAGAAACCTGGATGAACACAAAGATAAAGGGTACGTGTTTCTCATCCTTGCCCCTGCCACAGTTGAATAGAATCACAGAATATCCTGAGTTGGAAGGGATCTAAAAGGATCATAGAGCCCAACTCCTGACCCTGCACAGAACACCCCGACAATCCCACCATGTGCCTGACAGCATTGTCCAAACACTTATTGAGCTCTGTCAGGTTTGTTGCTGTGACCACTGCCCTGAGGAGCCTGTTCCAGTGCCCAGCTGCCCTCTGGGTAAAGAACCTTCTCCTAATATCCAACCTCAATCTCCCCTGACACCAGGACCATGCTGTTCCCTCAGGTCCTGTCACTGGTCACAGCGAGCAGAGATCAGTACCTGCCCCTCCGCTTCCCTTCGTGAGGAAGCTGCAGACCCTGATGAGGTTTCCCCTCAAGTCTCCTCTTTTCCAGGCTGAACAAACCCAGTGACCTCAACTACTCCTCAACCCTCTCTAGTCATGGGCACTCACATGTGAGGTTAGAGGGGTGTTAGCTCCTAGTGATGGTTTCACTGAGGATCGTGGCCACCAGTGCCCTTCAGTGAAGATGCAGGTGGGATTAGGTAGATGGAAATGCTGGAGGAATAGCAAAAAAAAAAATAAAATAAAAAGAGGCTGAGGAGTTTAGGTAAGGTATAGAACAGTCACAGCTCTGGGATTTCTAGGAAACATTCCTGTGTTATCAGAAAGCCTCTGGAATGGCATTTTCCCTGCAAGGGAGGAAGCAGGGCATCCTGGACTATTGACTCCTTGGACAAGCTTTAAAAATCCTTATTGTTTTTGTTCTCTTTCAGGATCAGTGACAAAATAGGAGACTATGCTGAGTATTTCCTGGAGACTTTTCCAGCACTTACCATTTATGTCTACAACAGTTTACGCCAGAATCCCACATACAGTCACCTTGCAGACATCCAGGACCCTTCTCTGTAGGATGTCATTGCCTCCTGTCCCATGTCTGATCCCACCATCACTGCCTCCATTTATTCCTTATTTATTGATCTGCAAAAGAGTTGAAGAAGTGGGTGAAGGAGATGGGAGAGAGCACATTCCGGGACAGAGTATGGAGGACTTAAACTAAGAAATGAAAGATGCTTCAGAAGTGTTTGGCGTAACAACCATGACCTTCAGAGCGGAACCAAACTGAGTGCCAGCCCAGGTTCCCCTTGATGACCTACCTCTGTCCCTCTGGGTTTATCTGCCTCTGAGATGTGGAGATCCAGGCCCTGACCCTTATGGAGGGCGGGGAGATGTGGGACAGCCCCTGGGGTACCTGGCACATCCGGGAGGCAGGAGGACAGCATTGTCAGACAACATGGGACCCTCTGATAAAGAAAAAGGAATTTGAGCTCCTTGCAAGAGCCAATCTTCTCTGCAGCTTGCACTGAGGAACTCATCTACCCCTAGAAAGACATGGGTTCCCTCTTTTCAGTCTTTTGGAAACACAGCAGCCAGAAAAATGGTATGTCTGGCTGCAGGGTTGCCCTTGGCCATTATCCCTCTGATCTGGTAGAGGCACTCTCTGTCCAGCCTGCTGAGACCTGAAGGACTTCCATTTGGGGAATGCAGGACATGCTTCCCAAGGAATGGATATAATGAGCACAATCCCACAAAACTCTGCTACTGTGCATAGTCCTGACCCACCCAAAAGTGATCATTGACATCAAAGGGGCTACAGGGACCTTCTCCTCCTGGAAAGGACAAGCTCTGCCATGGCAGGGCTGTGGACAAGCACTCCCTGTCTCCGAAACAGTTGGTGTGTCACTGTCCTCCTGCCAGACTCAGCTCCCTTGCACAGAACTGGTGTCCATGCAGCCAGCCTGGAGCTCTGACATTGGCAGCTGGGTGGCACAAACCCCTTTCTGAGATTCCCACAGCATGTCATGTGTGCCTGGTTGCCCAAGGGCTTGCTTGTTTCTCTCCTAATGCTCCAACTTGCACGATGATTATATGTTGCTTATGGAAATATTTTTCAGCTGTTGAAAAGATTTTTATTGTGGTTTTTTTTTTTCTGTTTGTTTCTTGGTTTGTTTGTTTCCAAACTGAGATTGTTATTCTTTCAATTAGCTTATGGGGAAACACTTGAAATAAACTTGCCTGGAAAACTGACTCTACGCTCATTTAGGAATGAGATTCTCCCATCCCCCCTGCATAAAAAGAGATACTCTGCAGCATTAAGAAACTCTCACCTGCATCAGGGGTCCTGGCTCAGAGCAAAGGTCCTTCTGATGGTCCTGAGAACCTTTTAAATATGTAATGGAAGTCTGCCTATGCAACTGTCAATGAGGTGCTAGTAGAGAAAATGCATCCGAGAGAATGCTGACTTCTTTTGTGTCAATATTTTTATTTTTTCCTTTCCTCCCTGCCCTTTTTTTCATTGTGTCTCTCACGGCCAGAAGGCAGGAGGACACCCAGAGATGTGTGCCCAGGTCCCAGCAGTGTGGGGAGCAGGGGTGCTGTGGGGAGCATGGTGGCCTTGTGCCACAGCAACATTTCTGCTCTTGCACAAGGAGAGGTGAGGCCACGGGCTGGATTCCTTCAATCTCTTGTAAAATGCCACATTTCCAGCTTTCTTTGACCTTTGCATCTTCTTCCATCATTCTACTGTTTCACCAAAGGGCTGTGACTTGGCAGCCTTAAAAGGCATGCTTGAGTAAGAGCAATGATTGAATCTGAGGAGGCTGGGACTTATCTCTCTGGGGCAATCTGGCTGCTGGGAAGAATTTCCAGAGAAGGCTTGTGTCCTGCTTTCCAAGAAGCCAGAGGTACCAACAAGCTGGTGTCAGAGAAAAAAATGTGATCCACGAACAGCATCTGCAAAGTAGACTGCTCAGAAAGGCCATGGGAGGAGGAGGGGATACAGGAGACTGGGAGCAGGGCTGGGGAAAACACCAGGCTGCCTCTCCCAGGAGGATGGGCAAGTGCCTGGTGAAAGCAGGTCAGGCAGGATGGAAAACCTGTGGCAAGGGCAGCTGGACAGTGTCACAGCTGGGTGGTGTGGCAGTGTCTGATGGCACAGCCTGGGAGTGGAGGTATCCTGGGGAGTTGGGGGCAGAGCCAGCTGCCAGAACTGTGGGTTGTACCAATGGCTCCCAGCATCAGCGCCCATCTGGGAGGTGCTGCCTGCCTTCACCTCGTACAGGAAGGCTTGCAGGCCATGGATGGTGCCCAAGGACATTCTGGTTTGGCCCCAAACGCTTCATTCCCCTGTTGCCATGCCTGTACATTGTGTATTTGCTGTGCCTCTGCCTTCTTCCTCTGCTCCTGCTGGGTGACCCTCGGGACAGTGGGCTCAGCCCAATGTGATGGGATCAGGTGCTCCCCATCCCGGCACTTGTGTGCTGAGGACATGTTTGTGTGCACAGGGATGCTCCCAGGTCACTGTGGCCCATCTGCTGTGCTGAAAAACAAAACCACAAACAGTCCACAGAAGCAGTGGAGTGAAGAGTGCTCTTAGCTGCAGTTTTGCTGTGTTGAGCTTCAGGCACATCTGTGAAGCCTTTGAGGGACCGGGCTCAGCTGGGCTCAGGAGTGTTAGTGCAAAGCTCACAAAAATGCAGGAAGCTGTTGGGGCTGAAAGCTTCTGGGGCAACTTATAGCACAAGGGCAATTTTTGATAAGCTGGTCACATTTCATGTTGTAGGAGTGGCATCAGCTTCCCGAGCCCTTCATTTAAATAAATGTTCCTGGACTTTGTATTTGTTTGGGTATTTTTGATCCTCCAGAAGTGTTGATAATCATAATTGATAAATATGAAACATGTTGTCATCTGCCTTAAATGCACCTGTGTTATTCCCAGGATGCAGTTTTCTAGGATCAGAGGGATTAAAAAGTGGTTAAAAACAGCTCAAAATTACGAAGCTGAGAGCTTGCCTCTGACAGAGTCAAACTGATGAAGGTTGTGGTCTTTACTTCATGAGGTCCAAAGAACATTTGGGATGTCTGCAGCTTCCTGCTGACTTGGCAAAGCCACTCTGACTCAGTTTCACCTGGGGAATATGAAGGCCTTTGATATGATTTGGTTAACGTTTGGTAAATATGGTTTAAAAAAAAAAACAACTAAAAAAAAAAAAAAAAGCATGCTGAAGCCCCAGTCAGGCATGAGCTGATTTTGATTGGAAAATCAGAAAGGCTCTGGCAAGACAGGCACCATCTCATCACCCAGGGACAGCTGGGTAGTGAACCAGGTGGGCTCTCTCAGCCTTGCCAGCACAGGAAGTATTTGATTTGTGTGGAAGGTGGGGAGAGGTGAGGAGCTGAGATACATTTCACAGATACATGTGAGGAAGGAGATTTGTGTGGATGAGGGTGTCTCCTTGGCTAGAAGCACATGCTGTGGCATATCCCTGTCACGGTTGCAGAGGTGCAGGTTGCTGTGCTGTTACCAGGTAAGCTGAAGTTGCTTTATTTTTAGGTCTTCCTGCTGATTAAGTACAAACTATTCAGTGTGGCCAGGCTGCTCAGCTTCCATGGATCACACCCTGCACCACTCCCTGTGGGTGGTGTTTTGGGAGGGCTGTTGTTCTAGGGAGGGCTGTCCTTTCCTTGTTGCCTGCAGGGAAGGGAGAGATGTATCAGTGGCTGCTGCTGCTGGAGGCAGGGTGAGGGTGATCAGGGATGAGCTCACGGCTCTGTGCTCCTGGGGGGGAGTTTAGGGCGTGGAGAGGTGCAGTGGCTGAGAGTTTTCTGTGAATATTACTGGAGATGGTGGGGCTGACCAGCATCCTGCACGAACCTCTGGGTTTTAAGAGGAGTTGTAGCTTGTGCTGCTGTGGTTTGGGGGAGGTAGAACACCTCTGTGACCACCTACCCGCTCACTTGCTGAGGGAGGGCCTCTTCTCAAGATTTTTATCTGCATCTGAGAAAAACAACACGCACAAACTTCCTATCATGGACTAATGCATGGGGCCCTAAATCCCAGCTCCCATCCCAGCAGCCAGAGCTCCCCTCAGGAGCAGGAGCACTCCCTTCAGCGCTGGCTCACCTTCTTGCTCCTCCAAAGGCTCAGTTTTCTTCTGGGGCTCTGGCATCATGATCTGGAGGCCTTCTGAGAGCGAGAAGACAAGGACAGGGCTTTTCCCTGGTGGGGGATAAGAGATGGAGTGGTTACTGTGCAGCAAGTGCTCCGCTGGCAAAGGAGGGAGGACAGCAGTGTTGTCCCCCTCGAATCACATGGGCCTCGTCTGGAAGGGTGGTTGAGTGAGGACTTGAGTTACCCAAAACTGCAAAACAGTTTGGGGGCTGCAGGATAGGGGTGTTATGTCTCACCCTGGATCTGTGGCAAGGCTGGGGGGGGGGAAGGTCCTGTGTGGCAAATGTGGGAGGAAATGGAATATGGAGACACAGGGGGAGATGTGCTCCCGGCTTTGTGCCTGCCTGGGCAGCACCTCCGTGCTGATGGCTGTGAACGGGTCAGGCAGCGTGCCCAGTCCCACAGGACCGTCCCTCTGCCGAGCACAGGCACAGACAGTGCCACAGTGACGCCTGGTGATGGGAGATGGGTCCCTGCCTGCCACCTCCCAGCCCTGCACACACCGAGTCTGCGCAACCCTCACAGTGAGGGAAAAGCAAGGCGTGGGCGAGAGGAGGTTTTCTCTGGAATTACAGGTATTTCCCCCAGCATTTTTGGTGCTTTTTAAAAGGCAACAAAGTAATTTTTTTTTCCGCTAGCTGAAAAGGAAGATTTTTATCTAAAGGTCAGGAAAGCAAGACCCTTAGATAAAGGTCATTGGTGAGAGCATGATAAGGCACAGAAAAGTTGGCCTGGACATCAGCACAGTCAGAAACAGCAGCTATTTTGGGTCACACATCTATTCCCAAGACACATCACTCAAGCTGAGGGATATTTTTTCTGCCTGGCTTCTGTTATTCATCCCTGCAAGATGCTACAAGGAGCTGTGGTTTGGGGACAGTTGTCCCAGGAACAGTCCCTGAAAGATTAATGTCCCTGTGAAAGAGATCACAATGTTTTCTATTTGTCCAGAGCAACCCAAAACACTCACTCTCTGTGGCTCTGGGTTGTTATACATGGGCTGTGCCCACTTGGGCAGCAGTGGGTCACTCCTAACCCTTTCAACAGTTTGTACTGGTTTAATCAAATCAAATCAAATTTGGGTTGGAAGGAACATTTAAAGGCCAAAAGCAGGGACACCTTCCACTAGATCATGTTGCTCAAAGTCCCATCCAACCTGACCCTGAATGTTTCCAGCTACAAGGGCAGCCACAGCTTCTCTGGCCAACCTGTGCCAGTGTTTTACCACCCTCTAGTGTAAAAAACTACTTCCTTACATCTAATCTAAATTAACCTACTTTTAGTTTAACTGTCTCTCTCCCCTCCAGTTCCCTGAAGCCCCTGGGAACCTTGTCCTGGATAACACAGCAAGCAGCTTCTGTATAACACAAGGCTTCTGGCTTGTCTCTAGCTTGTGAAAAAACCCTTGGTTAGTTTTTTGTTGTTGTTGTTGTTGTTTTTTGTTTGTTTGTTTGTTTGTTTTTTGTTTGTTTGGGGTTTTTTTGGTGGCACTAGGCTTTTGCATTAAGAGAACCATGTCTGAGGAGGTCCTTGAAGTGTAGTGAGGCTCTGTAGCAAGGTGGAAACCCAAGATGGATGTTATCCATGGGAATACCCGTGGTGTGAGGTGGTTTCAGCTAATAGACACTGGCCTGGCAGTCCTGGAGCACAGGGGTCTGTCACCCCATCCTGGCTGTAGAGCAGTAGCTCAAGCACCTGCCTGTAGCTATCAAAATCCTCCAACTCTGCTGCTTTTTAACCAGAGCTTGACAGTGATAAATGACAGGGAGCAGAACACCAACTTGCTGACGCCCACTCAACCATCAAAGCAAGATTAGTATGTGCCTATTTTGGTTTCCCCTTTAATCAAAAATCAATTAGACAATTTCCAAATGAATATTCAGCCAAGGAGCGGGTTGTCAGGCAGACTGACAGCGCTCAGCACCACTTTCTTTGTGTTTTCCACTTTAGAGTTATTCAGTGTATTGAAACTAAACAAGTGGATGAGAAAGGAAAAAACATCTTTCTCTTTCCCTGGAGATGTCACCTCAAATCCTGATGAAACTTATTCTCCATTCCAGATATTCAAAGCACCCTCCATGGAATGCAACTGAACCCAGTGGTTTGGCTGCATGGTGGTTCTCCTTTTCCTGCTCCCATCTGACTTGCAACCCAAAAGATTAGTTGTTTTATTTCTGGTCTTGGGTGTTTGCCTGAGTATTTTTAACTTGGTTATTGAAGTAAATAGGAATTATGCAACAGCTCTTTTCTTGTGAAGTCTCTGCACTCACTTCCCTATTCACCAAAGAAATTTCTAAAATTCCACTGGGCAATTCTGACTGATTCTGACAGGATAAAAATATTCCGTTCTATTTTCCAGCAAGCCTGCACCACATACATCCTCCAAGCTGTGTGAAGGAAGGGGTCTGGCTCTGTTAAGAGGAACTCCATGGGACCCCAGGTGTGGGTGTCTGTGCATTGGAAGAACAAACCTGGAGCAAAACCTGGAGCAATGGGAATGGGCCTTGGCCGACGGGGAGTGCGGATCTTGGATAATTTGGAGGAGGTTTTCGTAGGAAGCGAAGAGACCGGCACCTTGTCCTTCTCAGAGACTGGCACCTTGTCCTTCTCAGAGACTGGCACC